TCCAAAACCCGACAGCTCAAAGTTGGTGATCGGGCTCTTATATTGCTCCCAACCAGGGAAAACAAGCTTCTTATGCACTGGAAGGGGCCATTTCCGGTTACAGGAAAAAAGAATGACCACGACTATTGGTTGACCTTGGGCACACCACGAAAATGTTTCACATAAACATGCTCAAGCGCTACGAAGAACGTAGGTGCTGATGATATGAGCAGGCTACAGGTGTAGGTGCTAGCTATACCACATTAATGTAATAATGTACCATATGCCTAGGACTCTCACATACAGACTATTCTCTTGGTGCAACAGTTCTGTACATTTGTTTGTCGTAAGTCTTGTCTCCCGCGCACTTTGGACAGTTTTTTTTTTTAAAAAAACTTTTGAAAGGGGGGACTTTTGTCATGATATGCGCGGTAGGTTCATCTGGGTGCGCGATGTTTGTGAGTTTGTGCTGTGCCGTACGCCGACGAAGATGACGATGAGACAAGGAAAAGGCGGAATCGCGTCGTCAAAGTCAAGCCAAGCCATGGGAAGAGAGAAGAGGAAGACGACGACGGGGCGTTCGAGAAGAAGGATCGGAACGAAACAGTGGCAGGCTGAAGCGCTCGTCGGGTCGTGGTCCCGAAGCCTACCTGTGCCTGTGGTCCGCACGAGCCTGGCTCCCTTCTACCGTGTGATCCAGCAGCCGGCGCCGGTCCTTGTACTCGGATCCGGGCGTTTCCAGACCTGGGCCTACTACTGGCTGTCCGGGACGTGCGTGCCACACATCGACTCTGCCTCACGCTCCGCTCCGACCATGCCTGAGGCATCGCTGATGTCGGCGTAAGACGCAACGCAACGCATCGACTCATCTGCCTTCGACGTCACACGGTGAAGTGTTTCAAACCTTGTGTAGTGCAGTGGCGGACTACGCTAAGCGTCAGACCTTGTCTTTCGAGAACGTTTGTCGTGCTCGTACTTAAGGCAGTCTTCGCTGTTGCCATATAACACGCTAAGCTTCTTATCGTTGTTTTCTTTTTTTTCGTGGCATTAAAGCCTTATAACTCAAGTTGCAAATGTCTTCGTCAGTCTCGACAACGATTATTTAAGTTGCCGTGATTGCCCGAACCTTATCCCTCGCAGGCAGCTATACCCACTCTAAAGCGGGTATGTGCCACCAGTGGCTACGTACTGCTACATACATACAAGGATGGACAGAACCCACGCCTCAAGGAGCTTCGCCCCTAAAGTGTGGCCGGGCCCCTTTAACACTCTCATGTTTAAAATGGCAATGTCGGTTCTCGCTGTTCCTGGGCAGATATAAATGACCTGTGGCACATACCCACCTTTGGTATGCGGGTATGTGCCGCAGGTGTTCTGGTGTAGATGATCTGACAATGTACGCGACGGGGTTGTGTCATTATTCCTGCCATGACCATCGAATCATAATCGTCAAGCCAACTTACTCTCTCATACTAATTTTCGTTCACGCCAAGTAAAGTGGGTGATCACGAGAGCACCCAGACGATAGATAGACAGAAACACAGAGACAAACAGCCAAATATATATAAATATATATATATATATATATATATATATATATATATATATATATATATATATATGAGATCTAACAGACAGTAATGCCAAAGAATGTAAGGAAAAGTTATTAAAACCAATGAATGTAAATAAGAAGAAAGAAAGTGAGTGAAAAACTAACCAGCCGTGAGCAGGAATCGAACCTACGACCTTCGAATAACGCGTTATTCTATTAACTTTTCTGTACATTCCTGGCATACTGATGTTAGATGTCATTAATATTGTGTCAAAACACGGAAAAAACGAGCCTTAGGTATACACTTCTTTCCTGATAATATATATATATATATATATATATATATATACTATATATATATATTATTATATATATATATCTATATATATATATATATATATATATAATATATATATATAAATTGAGTGAGTTGGATGGCGTACGACGCATTGTTTAGCGGGCGACTAACGCAACAATGAAAATGAAAAGAAATCAGTAGCTCTTAAGGCAAAGCCAAACAGACAACATACAATTTCTCTACAGCACTCAAATTTATAAAGCTGCATGATCAAGGTGCTGTGCATATTGCACAGGAGAAGGCTCATGAAAAGGAGCACGCCGGTTTGTCGGAGAACTCGTTGATGAACCAAGTCACGAGCCTCCGTCTCTTGCTGCTTTGATGTGTTGCAGGGAAAACCAGGGAACTGCTGTCGATCAAATAAAAGTACCTGACATAAAAATAAAAAGAAAAGAAAGTAAAACACACACTCACATGGAGATACTAAACTTTTGTGAAAGTCAAACAGAAACGAGGAAACATCCACAACAAGTGATAACTGATGCTTTGACCATAATTATGCGAATGGTACTATTGTTCTATTGTTTTATATATACGGCACCTCAAGCTCCCTTTGGCGAGTTGGTTGAGATGCGTCCTGTTAGTTTTGTAAATAAATAAATAAATAAATAAATAAATGTTGCAACAATTACTTTGCTAATATAATTAGTTTGTGTTGTACGCAGCCTTTCTAATCTTCTCATGAACACCGCATATATTATCACTTTTAAACAGCGATACAGCATACACATCGGTCCTTGTTATCGCATGGCGATATGTCACTGTCAACACAAAATGAATATAATTCGCTCGAGTCAGTATCGTGAACTCGTACAAAGTGAATACTACAAACGTTTGATCTTTTTGACTCAACAACGCTTCAAGAAAAGAAAAAAAAAGCCTGGGAAAGTAAAGTGGGTGCTTTTCGATTCACGTGTCGAAAGAATCGCGGTGACTTCATCGGTGTAAGTGTTACACTTGCTAATGCGTTACATGACAGATTCAGTGTGAATTTTTTCTCTGCTTGTGAGTTGCCTGCTGCGTAACTCAACATAGGTGATCCTTGAAAGGGCCCCTAAACCCACCAGAAGCCGAAGTTAAGCTGTGGTGTTGCAATTGTGCACGAGTCTAAAATGAACACATAACCAAGAGCATTTTTACGAACGTTGCCTGTTACGCCGGACCCTGAAATTCATCATGGTTGACGCCATTATGCGTTGACCTGTCGGTCACAAAACTATTTCTTGAAATAAGCGCTTGGACGGAGGCACGGACCCCACATTTTCCTGGAAGGTGCTCATGCACCTGTGATAACCTGTGGCCGGGCGATCAAGGTGGCCTCATAGAGGAACGGCGTCGCTGGAGAAGTTCGCCTCGAATCAGGGCATGTCTTCACCTGAACGCGGACATGCACTTTTGCAGGGGCTCGAGCGGAATGTCGCCAACTCCATCGAAGCCGACGACCCGCCTCCCCTTGCCCTGTTCGAACTTATCTCTCTCGCCCAGTGTTTTTCGACATCAGGTCGCCTAAAGCCTGGAACTCGTACGTTGACATTGTGGGGTGCAGTTGCGGCTCCATTAAACATCGATCTCGACAATGCTCATGAACAGGTGTATTGAGTGGATCTCTTCACCCTTCCCGCTGGATGGAGCACTAAGACACCAAGACACCGAATTGGCGGGAGCTGCTGTCATTGCTTCCCGAGTGTCTCGGTATTAGCAGACGCAGGGCTAAAGAAGCAGAAAAATTTGATCTCTCTCGCTTGTGCCTATGTAAATAGACCTATGCTCTCTTGACTATTGTAAAAGCGCGCCTTCCTTTTTGTAGAAGATGGTCAGAAAATGAGGTCCACCAGCTTCACGGTGAACCCGAGTAACAAATGCCGTAATAGAGGAGTAACATGTGACGCGTTCGATGTCACGAAAGAGGCCCTCGCTCGTTTCGCTCTTTTCTTTTCTATGCTCCATTCGTCGGCTTGTCTCTCCTACGGGTCGAGTGCCCCTCCTCACTGTGCGAGGTGGAATAGCAGCTAGCGCACGTACCCACGAGAGGACACGCTTCTTTCTTGTGCCCGTAATTGCCCTGCCATGGTAGTCTAGTGGCTGAGGTACTCGGCTGCTGACCCGCAGGTCGCGGGATCGAATCCCGGCTGCGGCGGCTGCATTTCCAATAGAGGTGGAAATGTTCTAGGCCCGTGTACTCAGATTTGGGCGCACGTTAAAGAACCCCAGGTGGTCGAAATTTCCGGAGCCCTCCACTACGGCGTCTCTCATAATCATATAGTGGTTTTGGGACGTTAAACCCCACATATCAATCAATTGTGTCCGTAATTGCACACCCCATCTTTCAGATTCAATACTCACCAACTAGCTCAAGTCTGTTGGACAAACAAACAGCTATTGTAGATGACCAGCAGGCGACATACATGTGGCCGTAACAGCGAATGCTCTGAGGGGGAGACGACTGCCGAGAGACACGAACATGAGAAGGGATTGATTCTTGAAATTTGTGGGGCGCCTGCGGCTCGTAGGGCTGCCGAGTGTGGCATTGTTGATTGTGACGGTATTCCGTACTTGATGCGCGCGTTTACTTGAAATATTAAAAAAAAATGATATGATCGGAGTTGGTTTAGGGGCCCTTGAAGTATGCGCAGAGTTCATCAGCGCTGCGCACCAAAATGATTCAGCGCTTTCACAGGTGATATCACGTTTTTTTTTTCGCTCTTTATGTTGTCCATTTTTACCGCAATAGCAAATGCTTCCGTCATTAATTGATCGGTTTTTTTTCATTTATATTTATTGGCTTTTCATTTTTCAACGCCGCGACCCGTAAAAGTGATGTAGATATTTGAATGTCACGGGATTGAACCCAGGCCACTGCAGCCGCATTTCGATGTACGTGAGATGTTAAATGGCGGTGAACTTAGGTTTATGTCCACGTTAAAGAATATGAAGTGGTCAAAATTTTCGGAGCACTGGCCTGCAGCGTCCCTCACAATCATATTGTGGCACGCAAAAGCTCGCCAGTTATTAATAATGTCGTGAACACTTTGCGTGGTAACCTGCTTTCCGCTGCACATTGTTAACTGTATTTCTGTATTTTTCATTACTGAATGCTTTACACATTATAAATCGCAAACGTTTTTCGTGTCGCATGGCGTAAGGCATCCTAGCGCTTTTCCTCCCTTTGTTGATTTTGAGTATACATTGATTTTTCAAGCAGTTGCAAAGGAGGAGAAAAAAGTGAAGGACGAAGAGAAAAGCAAAGAAAAAGACTGAGCTCTGGAAATGCAGCCAAAAAGAAAAAAAGTTTGTTAATTGAACATTACTAATGATTTAGTTAGTGGGAAGGTAAAAAACAGCTCCAATAACTACAAGCTAGCGCGAATAGAATGTTTTTGGTTCAAATTCAAATATATTCTAACGCGCCTTCAGTTTTTTTGAAACTCTTGGTTCTAGTTTATATGAATCACAATGAACGCAAGTGTTGTGTTAGCATAAGTTGTTCTTGTAAATGTAGTATTCAACACTGTTGTTTACGTGATTTTCGCACTAAGACTCATCCTGCGATTACAAGTTTATCTGTTTCATTGCATATTCAGCTGTGTGTGTGGTTCGGGTAAACACTGAGCTTCAGTTTCATTTAGCAGCTGTTGTCAAAGTATCACCTTCAATACTACAGTCCGTGCTGTATTTCGACCTACAGTTGCAAAATATGTCAGAGGCACTGCAGTTGCTGCGAGATGATCTCAGTTTACATAACTGCGGCATTTTTTGTCCAATAAAAGTAATTCTTTCTTTCCTGATGTTTGACAATATCTGCTTGAATTGAAACCTTGCGGGATTCTAGCGCTGCTTTGAAAATATATGGCTTGGTATTCGATAACTATTAGGAAGTTGGGAACATATTCGATTCGCATTTCATTTTCATTTATTATTAACTATTCGCTGACACCTAACGAGGATTTATTTGAGGAAGCAGTAAGTCTGAAAAAAAAATGCTCACATTGATGGTGGGTGGCCGAAATTTCGGTGTGAACCAAGTCAACTTTGGTAGTGAGTGAGGTCGTTTATGAATGCGGGTCCACTCAACTTTCCAATAAGGTGAATTCCTTTTGAATGTGGACCAGGTAGGTTTTTAACTGACATTGAAACGCGACCTAACTGCTATGTTTCAATTACAATACAGACTTGTCCTTACAGCGTAATGTTTGGTGCGTGTGTATTAGGCATGTGCTGCAAGGCCTGTGTTGTTGGTGGATTGAAGAAGTAATGTATAGGTAAAACGTTCACATGCCATGACCCCATAGAAATACATGAAATAGTGGCCTGTGAACTTTTAACGCACTCCTTTTCTCTACGTTTTTGAGGAATTAATCACACATTCAATAGCATATAGCTGGTCGTAGCACTGGAGCTGAGCCGGCTTGCAGTAAGAAATGGGAGCATGTTCCGATTGCGTGCAGATCCATATTGGTCATGGCGGTTCTGTTACGATCGGATATTGCTGCCGCGGTGGTCTAGTGACTGAGGTACTCGGCTGCTGACACGCAGGTCGCGGGTTTGAATCCTGGCTGCGGTGGCTGCATTTCCGATGGAGGCGGAACGGGTGTAGGCTTGTGTGCTCACATTTGGGTGCACGTTAAAAAAAACCCAGGTGGTCAAAACTTTCGCAGCCCTCCACTACGGCGTCTCATAATTATTTGGTGGTTTTAGGGCGTTAAACTTCACAAATCAGCATTATTGCGGGATGGTAGCCGTATTGGCCATTTCATAGGGAATATATTGATTTTCATGAGTAAAGTAGCCCCAAAGCTACAGCCTGAATACCGCAGTGCGATGAAAGGGACAGGTGAGGAACACCCATGTTCGTATATTTAGGTGGACGTTAAAGAAACACAGATAGCCTCAATTCATCCAAAGTTACAGCATCCCTCGTAATCGAATCGGGCCTTTGGTACGCAAAACCCACGCAATTATTATTATTATTACGTCATGAATATAAGATAGCGCTCATGGTCTACAGGTGTCTCGATGAGGAGCAGTTTGTGGAGCATGCCTGTATGGCATGTATGTTGCGTCACTCGGGTGATTTACACGAGGGCACTGACATGTGAATGCTGCATACATTATGCAGACTTTGCATGTGCACTAAGAACTGTTCATTAGTGCACTTTATTGTTGTAAGTCAAATACATTTACCCTAGATTGATAGTGTAAAGAACACTGGTACACAGATGCAGTTGAAAAAATTCCCAGCTTTGGTCGCTGTTGGGCCGGACGAAAAGAAAAACAAGCTTGTGGTGCTCATGACAAATATTTGGAAAGAAAAATTAGTAGGAGTGTTTTTTTATCAGAGAACGGTGCGGCCACAGTTCTTCAGTGCACAGCCGATGCTCTCTGCCTTAGACGGCTGTCTCAGGCCTTATGAAGCAACCGTTTTTTTTCCTCGGACAATAGGCGACCGGTAATATGGGTAGTCGCAGGGAACTGTGGAATACGACAGCTTCCGGTTCGATGCCCCTAACGGGTTAGCAGCAGGCACACCCGAATTTTTGTACCGCTCCATTGAAAAAAGCACCTCTCCGTGAAGTGTCAGTGCTTTAGAAGTTGGTTTTTTGTTTCTGCTCACCGTGACTGTGACGATGACAAGCTACGAAAGACATGAACGGTAAGGAAACTTTTTTATCACACTAAAATGATCTGCAATGCTTTTTTGCTGCTGGGGGGTACTGTCAGTTTGGCTAGCAGATCAGTCAATACAGCAAACAGTTTTCATTGTATAAAACGCTACTGCAGATAAAAAATCACCATTTTAACGATCTCAGGGGATGGGGATGACAGTAGCAGTGTGCTAAGAGTTTCGGAATCGCTGCTTCGGCCGACGTCGTAGGTCAATCGGCATGAAGCGCAGCACTTATTGAGCACGTTGAGATTATTTTTTTGGTTCTAGCCTTCAGCGCGTTATAAGAGGCATTTCTTAGTCGAAGCCAGATGCTTATTTTAACGCTGATCTTGATCATTCTGCGCGGCACGGCGGCACACAAACAATACAGTCAGACATAAATGGCGCCGAATGATCGTAACCCTGCCCTTGCTTAACGCACTTTTTCCTTTGGGTGCCGTTTTGGCGCACAGTTTGACCAAAATAAAAGCAAATGTACTTGTCTAGCACTTCGTGTAAATTTACTCTTGAGTGAAGCTATCGCGTTTTTGTCATATATATGGGTGCAATGGCCGGCGCTCATCCCGTATAACAGGCAGATTTCACCCGCGAGTTCCCCTATCATCTTTGCTAGGCGTGTCTGCGTGACACATTATTTCTCAATATAACATTCATAGCAAATTCACGCGTAAACTTTTTTAGTGTGTAATACACACGTACCTATAATAAAATGGTTTTTGCACTCTCTGGCTTCAGTGTTCCGTACTCGAAGGCTACCTGTCGCTGTGGCTCTCTTCAAAGCTTCGGCCCACCTCATTTTTCTTTCTTTATTCCATGGGAATCGATACCTGCGTTTGTCTTTCACGCTCGAGTTGGAGCAGCCAACGGCTGAACAACCGACCATGGTTTGTCAGGACGAAGATAAACGGGTGACCACGCGCGCGAATCCCGAATAATCTGAGGCTTGCGGTGGAGCGGTACGCCGTCGTCTACTCTTCTCGAACCGGACGCCGGTAGCAGACGGTGCATCCCACAATCCCTCACTCTTTTACTGGTCACCTATTCTGCATTGGTACGGCAGTCGTTGCCTGTGTGCTTCATAACGATATAGCGTACACCACCGCCTTTGAGTTCCTTCGTGCTAATCACAGGTAACCTTGCGGGTTATTTTTTTGTAAAGTGAACTCATAATTCAACGTGAAATGAATAAACAAGCGTCTTGCTGAGGGCGCACTTTTAGATTTATTTCCATTTCTCGCTTTATTTTTCGCTTCTGAGTTTATTGCCGGCTATTGTGACACTTAACTGCATCTACGATGCCGCAAATTTTATCAATATGTAACCATGTATGCATATATGTTAGCACAAGGAACCATTGTTCGAAAACTATATCGTTAAAATATATCGTTATAAATTTTTACACGTTTATATGTAAGAAGATATAAAACTAGCGGTATGTAAAGATGTTGTCTATTCCAAACATCTAATTATAAAAGAAGACTCTCTATTGATGCGACTGTTATACTGTACCCGAGGGCATATTGAGTTACAAAAAATTAACCCTGCCTTTCGAAGAACGATCACATACTCTCAATAAAAAATACAATCAGTCGGTATTATTTTTACGGTAAGTTTTTGCGAAAATTTCATGACCTTTAAGAGCTATCTTCTATGAAAATAGTATCGTGATTCACTATTTCATATTATGCATTATAATACCTGGCTTCAGCTTTAGCTACTTCTTTTAAAATGGGTACAAACATTATCGTGTATCTTACCACAACAACAACAAAAAAAAGTTCTAATTCCTCTTTCATTCCCCATCTAAAAATTTACAAAAAAAGGGGGGTGACCCTTAAGCTGGGTCTTTAAAGGAGTACTGACACAAAAACTTTGGCCTCGCGTTTTTCTGCTGCAATGCGTTGCTGGAGGCCTCTTGGTCATGACACGACACATCGTTTGCTGCAGCAGGCGACAGATAAATAATTACAGGCCCCTCACTATCAATGAGTTTCAGTTTCGGTTAGAGAGTTCCAAAAACTTGTTGCAACTTTCGCCACGTAGCGTGTGCAGCTCTTGATCACGTCAGCACATAGAACTGTGGCACACTTCCACAAGGTCCGCATCAAGAATCACCTTCGAATATAAAACGGGGCTGGAATGCCCCCAAACACAAAACTTTCTAAGCTTGCGCCGCGGCTCCGCACTCTCAACCAGCCGCCGAGAAATATAAACTTCGGGAACTAACGCGGCAAAAGAAAAATGGCGGCTATGACGTCATCATATCTTGTTATGTTGACCGCAGCGTGGTGACGTGAGGGAAGTAGGGGGTCACGTTTGAGTCACCTCCGAGGGTGTCTATAGCGCTATGGAGTCGGTCGCTCACGCAAACTTGAAAACTAACTAAAAATACCTTCCAAGCTATATTCGCTGTTGATATCTTGCAGATGATATACAAATGTTCACGAGAATTGACCCCGCAGGCTATCTCGGCCCCAAAATTTTGCGTCAGTACCCCTTCAAGAGTTGAACACATTAGCTATATTCTGTCCCTAGTGCGCACTGAGTTCAAAATGGCTTATGTCAGTGAAGCTTTCGCACACGGCTGCCTTATGTGTTGTGGGTAGCATGCATGCTTCAAACCACGGGCAATTGTGCCCGTGAAATCTTTTCGAACTTGCTATGCACCCACTACGTGACCTTAAGGAAAAAGGTGCTGCAACGTGCGGGCCTTTTTTAGTGGATGATGCACTTTAAACCACGAATTCATCAAAATGGTATGTTCTAATGTCTGATCGCATCAGCAAGATCAACATTGTACACCAAACTAAGAGCTCTTTTTATTTGTCCGGTTTGACTTGGGGTGGAGTCCGTTTCTCTTGCACATCCTTCTCCCTCAAAGTTTCACTTGGCTCTGTCCTGTTCATTTTTCTTTTCCAATTGGCAATGCCTGCTATATGTTTATGGCGTGGGCGAGGATTTGTTTTTCCTTACGTCACAATAAAAAATGATGCCTGATCACAACTTACGCTTGTACCACGCAGTATTACAGCGACATTACATGTTGCATTGTGAAGCATGCATACAGGACGCCTGTGTTTGTAAAGCGTGCAAGTTACTTTTGCTGCATTTCCAAGCAGATGAAGTTATTTTCGCTACATTTCTAAGCAGAAACGTGGCTCATTGGTAGAACACTTGCTTGTCACGCAAACGACTTCCGTTGAATCCTCATTCAGTCCTAGATTTTAAAACAATTCTTTTATTTGAATCTTTCTCGACTTTTGGCTCACGCACAAAAAGATAATTTTTCGCTCCCACCCAATGACGCCGACACCAGAAATTCTACGAAACGAGCTCTTCAACGCTATTGCGTTAAAAGTTTGCAAGCTGCGTCGTAGACCTGCTTTCAAACACGAACAGTAAACGAACGCTGAGAACCAAATATTTTGACATACTAGTTCAGAACACTAAATACACAAAAATTGGCCATTTGACTCACTGTTTCTCCTTGCATTCATCTTCTTCAATATACCCGGAGTCTTTTCCCATGATGATGAATTCTTTGTCGTCAGCCATATTGAAAGTAGCACCACAACGATCGCGCGCCTTGATACGGCGTGTCTTATTTTCCAAGCAGTTCTCGTAACCTAAAAAGAAGAGCAAAAAAAAAACGTGACAGATCCCACTTTTTAAGAATCGGTACAACACGGAAGTGGAAGGTGTCCTCGCAGAGACCTTTGAGCACTCATTGTGAATTGTTTCGCCACAAAGGCGAAGAAATGAATGCTGCAGTTACAAATTACAATGTCACGCGCACAGGTCAGCAAAACTTGTGGAGCTCACTCAGACTCACTCACTCATGAGTGAGTGAAACAACTTTATTTTTGATCTGGCATAAAGGGGAAGAGGTAGAGGAATTAAAGGAAGACTTTAGCGTGCTAGGACGTCCTGGAGCAGTGACCTACTCGCGTCAAACCCGTGGGGGCGCCGCTTTCGGCCGCTGGCGTTCCAGGATGCCAAGCAAGCTCAGAGTTTTGGTTCTGCACCTCGAGGATCTGAACCGGAACAACGTGACAGTACAGAAGCTCCACGCAAAGCTGTCGCTGGCCACCCGCTTACTCAAAAAGGTGACCACGTGGTACCAGGCTCACTTATGAAATGTATTTTGAGCATTGGACTTAATCGAACTCAGATGCACGAAATTTTTCTTCAGCTGGACTCACTCGGACTCAAACTCACCAAAACATTAGTGACCCGGACTCACTCAGACTCCGACTCACGGCTCGATCTGAGTCTCAGTGAGTCTGAGTAGGTCAACTCATGAGTCCATCAGCCAAGATTTAGCTTCTTCAATCGTGATGTCGATGCTCTTTAACACCAATATCTCACTCAATCGGTGCTCTTCTTGGTGTCATTAGGCATAGCATCTTCGAAAAAGAGTTCTGAGGGCTTCAAAACCACTGCAGTAATTTTTCTTGGAAGAGATGACATCATGAGATATAATAATGAACAAATTTTCTGGAAGAGTTGGTGGGGGAGGTAAAGGCACCCAGCTTACGTAATTTACGCACTTAAATAATAGTGTATGAATGACACCGCTTTGAAATACACGTGACTAGACGTGAGTATAAATGTTAATTTAGGTTAGGCTGATAGAAGTGCTGAATATCACTTGATAGATAAGTCATCAACAGAAAGTGTAACTCACTCAGTCTCACTCAAGAAAAATATCTTGCGCTTTTGGACTCATTCGGACTCACATTCACTGAATTTTCCCGAGCAGAACTCACTCGGACTCACAGTCCCAAAAATTTTCTTCAACCGGGTTCACTTGCACTCATACTCACAAAAATATTACTCGCCCGGACTCACGGCTCGATTTGAGTGTGAGTCCGAGTGAGTTGACTCATGAGTGAGTTTAGTAGCGCGTCGTCTGTGTACTTCTTCTCTGTTTGTGTGTCGTTTTTTCGCGCCCCGTATCATCATGAACCAGCACCAACTCGCCCAACTTTTCACTTTACTGCCGACCCCTGGTCACACGAAGAACGGCAAGCAGCTCAAAAATTGCAGCGTACACCTCAAGCACGACAAGAGCCTACACAGTACGAGCATGGACAAACAACAGCTGTCACAGCTCGGCACTTGAAGCACGCTGCTCAAACAGAAAGAAAGACGTACGAAATGAACGCACAAGTATATACTTGGACGAGCGCGAACAACGTTCACAATTTTTACTTCTTCGTACGTGAACAGCGCACTATCGTAAATGCGGCCGTGGCAGTGAGCCAAGTGACGTTCGTGCGCTCTTCAACTACTGTCACTTCAAAGCAAACTTGCGGTGGAATCCCGAGATAAGCACGTGCGAGAGAGCCACCTCGATATGTGGGGTTTAACGTCCCAAAACCACCATATGATTATGAGAGACGCCGTGGTGGAGGGCTGCGAAAATTTTGACCACCTGGGGTTCTTTAACGCGCACCCAAATCTGAGCACACGGGCCTACACCATTTCCGTCTCCATCAGAAATGCAGCCGCCGCAGAGGGGATTCAATCCCGCGACCTGCGGATCAGCAGCCGAGTACTTTAGCCGCTAGACCACTGCGGATGGAAGCAGGGACGGACGCAGGGACGAATGCGTGGACGAACGCAGGGACGGACGCACACAAGGACGTGCGGACGCACGAACAGACGCACGCACGGACGGCCACACAGATGAACGCATGGACGGACGGAAGCAAGAACGAATGGACGTACGGATACTTCGCCCCACTCTTCATCATTCACTTCGTGAATTTACTGTCATTTTTTTTCTGGCCAACGATAAACATGATGGTGGGGGAGAGGGTGACATTTCGATAAAGGAAAGATATAAAAACGCCAAAAGTGATTATTCCAGAAGTTTTTTTGTGATATCTGCATTGATTACGTGCGATTGTTCTACTGGATACCAGCAAAGAATACGAGCCATTGGCTATGGGTTCAAAAGTTTATTGCTCGTACTTGGTCTTAATTTAGACATTCATGTTTAGTACCCGTCTGTTAGAGCACAGTGCTTATAAATAAACAGAACAAATAGAAAGTGTCCAGTGCTTTTATAGCTGAATCCTAAATTGTAGGAAAGATAGGTGTTGGAAAGAGATCCGCGTAATTGCAAAATCCAAAGCGCTTTTATTGAGAGGTCATGGGCAGTTGCATAGCGTGCTCGAAAAGCCCTCTATCAGCTCCTATACACAATCTACATAAAGTCAGCACATTTTCTGTCGCGTTTCGTAGCATTCGTGGAGTAAAAGAGCGGCACACATCTACTATTTTAGACTTCAGTCTTGCGAGCGTTGTCGTCGCTTCGGTGTAGGCGTGGTCTTTAATGTATCCCCGTGGAAAGAAATCTAGGGGAGTCAAATCTGGGAATCTTGCAGGTCACTCTAGAGGTCCAAGACGGCCGAACTATTTCTCGGTAAATTATCGATCAAGCCATGTTCGAGTACGCGCGCAGCTGTGCGGAGCATCTTCGTCTTGCTGGAACCAGATATTCCCGAGCTGTACTAGAGAGAGGTTGCAGGTGAAGTCATTCAGTGGGCCATTTAGTATTTCGCTGATGTAGCGTTCTGCGGTGAGTCTTCCATCTAAAAAAACTGGGTTAATAACTTTGCCGTCCTAAACATCACACCAAACACTGAAAGACCAATGTACCTGGTGTTGTGACTGCAACAGCCAGTGAGGATTTGTAGCGCTCCAGCAGTGATGATTGTGAACATTAATTTGGGCATGGCGCGAAAAGCGAGCTTCATCGGACCAGATTATGATCTTCGGGAAGCCGTGATTCTTCCTGTATAAGTATACAGTTGCAGAAGTCAAGACGGCTTTGCAAATCTCTCTCTTCCAGCTGTTGATGCAGGTGAACATGGTATGGGTGAAGTCCTCCACTGTTGAGATTGCGCCAAACACTACTGCTGGAAACGCCGGTCTCTGCACTCACGTCGGGCACGCTTGCGTGGGGATGGGCTGCCATGTGAGCAGGAATGTCTGTTTTAAGAGACTCAGTCACACCTTATGTGTGCTGATGCTGCTTTTTGAACGTGTTTGTCTCCTTGAGCGTTTCGTAATGTTGCACCAATGTCGAACTATTTACCCGAATTCCTAGGTGACATCTGCGAAATAATGTTGCCACCTCTCTCCTGTTTCCGCTCGCTCGGCCGAGGGCAAGAACCATATTCGCACGTTCTTCATTAGTGAAACGCATCACTCCAGACTAAGACTTTCCCTTGTCCAAGCATGTCCAAAAAAACTGCGCTTCACATATTCCCATCGTGCTTTTGATATCCTTCCTTTGTTAAAATGTTACCCTCTAACCCTTCATCATGTTTATTGTTGGCCCGAAAAAAAACCCCTCTGTGCTGCGCCGAATGCTGCCCCCGGTCTCGTATCGCAAGATACGTGGCAGCCACTTTTTCGACGAAGTTTATTGTCCTCGTTGATCGATGTAGCGCGTTTAGAACATAGGACAAGAGAAGGGACAGAAGGAAGTGCTTCCCTTGTCATATGTTCTAAACGCGCTACGTCGATCAACTATGTCTTACCAACATGCCCAACTTTATACTTTAGTTATTGTCCTCGTTTTTTTCATTGCCACCCCCCCCCCCCCCAATCTTTTAACGATACCATCTAACCATCGCTTAACGTCCATCGTAGCCACCGATAGCTTGTTCAACCGACCTTCGTGCGTGAGAAGCCTTCGCTAATTCGTTCAACTTACATTTGAGGGCACTCCAAGCGCCGCACGTTAGGCGGCAATCACGTGGTACTTTTTTTTAATTTCGCGCACTTTAAACAAACTCTGGAAAAATTTCCCAGCGTTGTTATTTTACTGTAATTTGAAATTTTTTTTATTTCTGGAAAAGAGCTACAAGTTTTGCATTGAAATATTTTCCTTAGACTCAGTATTTAAAAAGTTCATTAGGTAATCTTTGTTAATTACCATGATTGGCTGATCAAAAAATATTCTGACGTGCTACATACAGCAAAGAACAATACTGCGCTAGCTGGAGACGCGTACCACTCATTTTTATTTTTTTTATTTCTTGGCGCTTTTTAGCTGAAACACCTTGTATACCGCACATGACACTTCTTGAGTGACGTTTATAGTATTACCGACGTCTGTTAAACTATAAGATCCACAAGAAATGGGATCTGTATATTCCATTTTACATGGCATAAATATTTCTTACTCGCAGGTATGCAAAAACTGTGGAACAAAATTGCTGTCAAAGCAAAGCTAGCTTCACGGCATTGTTAGTCTATTTGAGAAAAAGCCCACTTTAGCATCCCCTTCCATGTAGAAGTAATATAAAAAACTATATATATATATATATATATATATATATATATATATATTCAAAGTGTGTGTTTGTGTGTGCGTGCATGCGTCATTCCGATGTCACTTCAGGATGCAGAGAAGCTTTGCCCCATCGGCTGACTCTAGAAATGTAACCTTCTCGAGTAGTACTCTGCTCTATTGTTAGCGAAAACCACGTATGTAGCATAAAGTAAGTTTAACGGAGGCATGTCAGCATTGAGTATCAATCACCTGCGTATTTTGTTTATAACAGCTCAGTTGTCGCTCAGGCGAACGTGCCCCGCAAAAATC